TAACGGTCATCGCATTCACGTTCACTTTTCATTGAAAAGCCGGCAAAGAAACAGAAACAGCCTTAACCACATTTGAATTTCTAATCGGCCGACGAAATGTTTTATGTACGTCTTATAACTATTATTATTCATATTGGGGCTTATTCGATTTCGTAATCGCAGAGCATTCGCTTTTACACCTCGCCATCTCGATATTATTCCAATTTCATTTGTTACACAAAAAAAATATGTGTAAAAGTCTCGGTCTGGGTCTTTGCCTTTTAAGTTCATTGCCAGAACTGAATAAAAAAGAAATAAACTGGTTTTCTGTTTCGTTGTCGTCTGTGAAATTTATGATGCATAATATTTGTTTTATTTGCCATTGTTTGTGCTCATAGGCAGCCCGTTGGACTCGTAATCTCCAAATGATTTGGACGCCAAGATGCAATTGAAAGTTCCCAGAAAAAACTTTGCGAGTTCCCAGAAGACTTACGGAAATTTTCGGGGATTTACCAAATGCTTAGGCCGTTTAGAAATTCTATTTATGAGCAGTTTTTTAAGGTAATCTAATATGGGAATTGTCAGCTTAAATAAGTTTTTAGGTCATTTTTCAAACCGTTTTTTATAGTTTATGTTTCAGCTTTTTGATGGATAATACCCTAAAATACTAAAGTGATGTACGAGTATAATACCTAGCATGTTGTATCGTTAATTAATCACTATTCTGATTTGATGACCTGAAATGATTGATCTTTCGTAACCAAATTTATGTATGGTTTTTGGTTTAGGTTTTATATATCATTAAAACGGAATCAAATCTGCGATTTTTTAGATATTTTCCTATTCCTTAAAATCCACAGTTATCATGCTAAATAATAAGCACTATAAATAAAGTGAGAATTAAACCCCATTAGCTTGCGATCTAGTTTAGCTTAGCCGCCCATAATTAATGGATAATTAACTTATCCGATTGAGTAGGATGCTCGGCATCTGAGATACATTTGCTCCGCTTCGTTTTCCATATCTTCGCTTCGGATACGAAGGTATCTTCAACTGCTCCAGTTTTCGAGATAATATCTCTCATCTTTTCGGTTTGAGTGCTTCAATAACAACCGTTGTTTTTGGGATTTTCTCTGTTTGTTTTTTTTTCCCTCCCCATTTTGAGATTGCCAGAGGTCAGGAGTCGTTGAACCCAGACATTGACCTCCACCTTCTCCACCTCCGCCCCTTTGGCGATCGACACACGACAAGTTTCGTGTTTTGTTTTATTTTATTTCATTTTTTTCAAGTTTTCTTTTTTTTTAAGCGTACTTTGCGTTTGCTGTTTGCGTTTTTCATTTGAGCCTGACTTTGGCTTTGGGCCATCTCCCACCTCCGAAAAAAAGGTAACTTTCGGCTATCCCCTCTTTTATCTGACCATCTGCGTTTATGTGTAATTACATCGGTCTCTTGGGTTCCAAGATTTGAGTTTTAAAGTTTTTGTGGTTCTTCGGATTTCAGATTTCATTCCGATACGCCTTTTGGCTTTTGTCCACTGGACAAATTTTCTTCTAGCCACTTTGGACAATTTTCAGAAAGAGCAGTTAGCCCATTATCTTTTCTCCCACCCCCACGTGAATCATTATGTTTATGTTTTTCGACTTGGGTAATTTCCATTTTCTACTGCAAACTTTGATTTGGCTGCGAAGCTGCATTAAAACATTCATTAGGCATTTATCAAAAGTTGCTGTCAGGATCTCACGGTTTTTCGTTGTTTGGCTGACCGGTTTTCGGGCATTTTTACTTTCAATTGGCAAACGGGAAAAATCGACGTGAAAATCTTACTACCGCCGTCTGCGTCCGCAATGTGCAAAAAAAGCGAAATTTTAATAGACCAGCAACGAGCAGAAATGATGCATCAAATTCTAACCGGTTTTTGGGGGTTTTTCTTCTACTTTTATTGGGAAAAAGTTGTTCCCAAGAAAATGGGGGAAAACAAATGAAGATGTTCAGGCCAAAGGTAATTATTAAGAAATAAATTGCTAAAGAAGAGCTAAACAAGTTTGTTCACATTTCCACTTTTGAATAATATTCATAGAGTAGAGATCAATTATAGCAAACCATTAATATCTCTTCTCTAAATTGAGCAATATTCGTTTGGTTTTCTGAAATAGCTATGATTATTATATACAAATGAGAAAATAGACTAGTCTTTGGCCGTTCTCAACTTGACTTTCAATAGTAAAGATGCAAATATGTGTGTACACGTTTTCCGAGTGCCTTGAAGTTAATCAGGAATGGGAGTCTTCTTTTCACGGATTTCAGATTTCTGCACTCGGCTTTTTTTTTATCAACGCCTCTGCCAAACGGACTGGTGATCGAGTGCAGATCTTCGGCTTGGCCTGAATCGCATCCGTCGGTTGGATGGAGATCCTCGAGCTCAATCCGCTGCCATGGCCAATCAGCCAGTCTCAATCACTTGACCATGGAGCCCCCACTGCCCCCGTTGAGCGATCCCCCCACCTCCGTCTCGATCATTTGTCGACATGTCCATTGCGATTCTCGAGCCACTTTATTTGGGTCATGGACAGTCATCTGGCTCGATGGTCCCCTCTGCTGATGGCTTGTGTCTACAGGTTTTTCGACTTTTACTTGCAACTGGCATTGGCCAGGCCGAAAAAGGCATTTTTCTGGCTCTGCGGTTCCGTGTTTCATCTCGTTTAGGTTTTCAATGCGAAACAGTCTTTTTTAAGGGTTCTGAACTGTTGAGTAAGCTGCTTAAACAGCTGATATGGCACTTGAATTTATCAATATTGTATTTTTTTGCCAGGTATGCATATTAAAAAGATCCATTATTTATAGACCGTGTTTATGGTTTTAAATATACCGTAATGGTATATGAAAAGATTTCGAATAGAAGGCTACTACTTAATAAAGTTTTTATACACATTCTTGCTACTCGTTTACTAGTTTTACTAGTAGTTTACAAGTATTACTAACTGAAACTAAAATGTGCTTTATTCCTAGTTTTCTTGGTGTTGGTGCACATTTTATATTATATCTTTATTTTTTGTGTGCCATGTGATGATTTTGACAGAGATTTCTTATCGAAAATTACATTTGTGGCACACTTTTGGACTTAAGGCCTGAATTCTCCATCTTCGAAAGAGGTGGAAAAGAGAGGGGACGAAGGAAAGAGAGCAAGACAAAGAGAAGGAGGGAGTACCACGAGAATTGTAGACCAAAACAATGGCGATCACAAATTTCACAGCTCTTACCATGACTTTGGTTTTGGCCCCCAAGAAAAAAGATCAAGACGGGTCCAAAAATATATTAAGCACAATGAAACACACGAAAAAAACAGCGTGGCCAACTGTGCAAATAAAGCGCCAGCAACAATAACAACAATGGGACACACACACACATGCACACCTGTGGGCAACAGAAGAAGAAAAACAAAAAAAAGAACAACATGTAAATGAAAAACCAAACAAAACCATTTTACAATTGTGGCCAAAGCATTGTTGTTGTTTTTCGGTTTTTTTCTCTCTTTTTTTCTGCGGAAAGTCGGGAAAATCAGTCAATGGAACGTCACGGCAGAGCAGCGACAGAGGCGCCGGCAGCGACGCAAGCAGAGGCAGCGCAGCATCGGGGGCGTACTAAGTTCAATGAAATACTGCAGAAGGCAGGAAGGCGAAGGAGATGGTAAAGAATGGGTGGAGAAAAAGCAGCAAAATCAAAAAAAAAAATAAATAAGAGAAAATACAAGAACAACTTCATAAACTGCAAGTCTAATGCAATCATAATGTAAGATATAATCAAATAATATTATTTCTCAACAGTATACGCATATATTTTATAAGACTTTTCCTCGATCATCAAATATAAACTGCTCTAATTTTAAAAAATATAGAACTCACTTTTAGTCACCTAAAAGTCTACTTAATGCTTCTGAATGTATTGTAGTTTCTTGGTTTCTGGATCAGCATATCCTGGAAATATTTCATTTGTATGAAAGCAGACCCGAAATTTGATCATATTTAATTAAACATTATCCTGATTTCATTCTCTGCCAGACTTCTAGTTTTTAACACATGTATTTTTAAGAGTACGTCTTGATTTATACAACATATTGGCAAGTTAGAATCAAATATGTAATTGTTGACATTAACCTACTAGTAAGAATGAAATATTTACTAACCTCTTCAACTTTCTGCTGCATTTTGACGAAACTTTTTACTTTGCTGTGGCTGCAAAAATGCTCTTTTCAACACTTAACAGAACAAAATATAAAAAAAAAGAGACCAAAGTAAATGTTTCAACTGGAAAACATTCACTGGATTGTCTATTTAAAATTGCACTTCCAGTGTTCTTTTTTTTTTTGCAGAATTTCTCCTTTCTTGTTTTCTCTGTTTATCGTCGGTTGCGCGCGCGCAAAAAGTGCAGCGAAGAAAGGAAACAACCAAACAAACAGACGGATGAATGGGGAGTTGGAGTACGCGCGAGGAATCGTAGAATTGTAGAATCGTGGAGAATCGCAGACTGGGAGGAACGACCAGCACGCAGAGCAATCGAAAACACAACTGGCGGCCAAAATGAAACGAGGAATGTGGAGTGCATAGAGCAGTGGACGATAACACAAACACAGCGGCAAAGCTTGCCGAGCAATCGATAAGCCTATCGAATATACCGAAAGGGAGTTGGTATTTTCCAGGGACGGCGAGTGTGCGACTATCAAGCTAAATTTAGCTAACTTATTAGATATTGGTATATTTTACCATAAATCGGTAGAAAGATTTAACTAACTTATTTGCAGTTGGTGCATTTTCCTAAATCCTAATTTTTGTAATTGTTTCCAATCTTATTCATTTTGTATTTACTTGAAATAAATAAGTTAGTAGTTTATACAATTTCAATTTTGTAAAAAATCACATAATAGCTGGAAAGTATCCAAAGCAATATTAGCTACATATTAATTTGGCTACTTTCTAGCTATCATATATCCGAAGATAGCTATCGGACAAAAGATAGTTTTTGGTATATAATCGATTGGTTGCCTGGGCAACGGTATTTCAAAAACCACAAGCAAAACAAAATGGAAAATAAACAAAGAAGGCCAGTAGCTTACAATTGTTGAGGTTCAAGAACGAAACTAAAAAACGACCGGGAAAATCATCGAGAAATCATGCAAAAGAGCAGGGACATAAAACGCACGGGAGTTTATCGCGTGAGCGGAAACATTGCAGATCTCCAATTGGAACTGAAGCTGCGTCACATCAGTGAATGGCTTCCGGTACCCAAGTTCGAGTACGTGGGAGCGCAGTCGACGAACGCACACGGCGACCACTATCCCGGATCGGAGGAAGACATCTGGCATGACTGCTATATCCATATTCCCTGGGGCGATGATTCGTATGATGGCAAGAATCGCTTGGGCTATTACTGCAGTTATTACAATGTGGGAACTGGTTACACCGGCAATGCAGTCATCAGACGAACGACGAGTCCCATAACTCAGCACGCGGGGGATGACAAGGCGGAGAAGGAGGAGGTATTGACGGATCTGGAGACCCAGAGTAATCCCTCGTGGAGCATCCATTGTGATACTAGTCGGCCGCCCTCTGGTGATCTGTTCTATGAACGGAATAAGGAACTCTGCAATGGCGCTATAGCCACAATACGCATATCCTGGCAGCAAAAGCACTTTAGTCAAGCGGAAATGGAGCGATACATAAACGATCCCGGAAGTTGTGCCTCAAAACTCCAGCGACTCTATCACAATTGGGCCTTGGAAGCCCAGGAGCTGCAGCAGCAATATCAAAGGAAACTGGAGCATCAGCAAGACGCGGAGCACGAGCAGGCGCCTGCAACCATTGCAGTTCGTCGCCGGCTGCGCAAGTCCAAGTCTAAACCGAGAAGCTGCTCCGCCTTAGTTCGACGGACAGGTAATAGTCTGTCCTCGGCGAATATGTCGGATGTTTCGGTAGTGGATGATCCCAACTTTGCTGCCAGAACTTGCCTCATACACACCCTATTGGATAATGATCCCGAGAATCTTATGCCCGCCGATGCGAGTGAGTTCCATAAAAAGGGCTACCAGCTAATGTACATCTATGCTGACTTACAGCAGGACACTCTGTTGGTTAGTATACGATATGACCCCGAACACGGTCTGCTCTATGTCTATCCGGATTTCAGCAGCAGTGCCGCGGATCTGGATTACGTGGTGCAGATCGAGCGCAATAACGACTGTCGCCAGTTGTATGCCTTTGGCTTTGAGAATGTCACACCGCTGGAGGCCTACGACGATGCCGGTGTTCCGGAGGAGGCAGATGGAGAGGACGAGCAGGAGGTGGGAAATGGCTTAGCCCTCGAAGAAGATCTGCCCGAAGAAGCCTCCGCCGAGGAGATTCTCGAGTTTTACCACAGACGGCGAGCAACAGCCAGCGAGAGGAGAAGTCTCCTCCAGTTCGAAATGCCGCCCAAGAGGATGAAGCGGGTCAGCCTGTTGCTGGAACTGCAGGAGGCCCAGAACTTTGAGAACCCCAACATACATGTTAGATACTATCTCAAAGCTCCAGCAAATACCCTCTATGAGGGCACACCTGGTGTGGATCCCATGCAGGGAGCCACGGCCACGTGCAGGAATGCCGGCGACTGGCGGAGTGCCCATTTGGGTCACTGCTGGCAGGTGACCCTGCTCCTGGAGGAACAACATCATCCGGCCGATCTACTGCATCTGTACTTTGAAGTGATCAGCATTGATAGCTGGCAGCGGGAGCGATGTGAGGGATATGCCCACTATGCCATATCGCTGACATCCGCTCTGCCAACGGACTCCATACGGCTGCAGTGCCTCCGACCACTGGGCAACTGGCTGGATGCCCTCAATCGGTATTTCATAGGCGGTCGGCAGCTGTTCGACTTTGAGTCCTTCTTCAATGTACACCGGCAGTCGGAAGTGCATTACCGTTTGCATTTCAGCTCGGACAGGGCAATGACCACCACGGGAACACTTTCGCTGCGGCTCCAAAAGCTTCAGCAGCGGCCAGTGGACACATCTAACCAGTTTCACCACCATTTCCATCTGGATCTCGGCCACGATAGCAGCGACGATGGCGGCAGCAATGATGAAGAGGTCAAATCCAGTTCGAACGCTGATACTTCGAGGGCCACCACCTTGGACGAGGTGATGGCCGCCTTTGTGGAGGCCAGGGAACGGATCGAGTTGCTCCTGGGAACCAGCTGAGAAACACCCTCACTTCCAGGCTGAGATGGGAGCCCTTTTTTTATAAACTATAATTTATATAAAAAATTTGGTGGATATTTAGAAACCTAAGCATACATTTGATATGGAATATCATCAAAACTTGCAAGAAAAAGGTTTTAAAGTTGTTGCGCAGATACTTACCGATGTTAAGGAGCCCCATTGCCGGTTTTAATCATAGCTTTTAGCATAACGAACAGAGAAATCGGAACACCTTGGATTTTCGAAAGTTTATTTCACTTTTTGCAATGCTAAACAACTAGATTCGATCCACGTGGTGGTCTACAACTTGAAGTTCTTGGTGTAGTAATCATTGAAGAAGGAGTAATCGAAGTGGCCGTAGTTGGAGTATTCCTTGTAGTTGTGGTACTTCTCCATTGTATCCGCATGGTAGATGGTCACATCCTTGAAGTACATGTTGGGCACGTAAAACTCGTACTCGTTGATCTCGCGATCGAAGGGATAACCAAAAGGCAGGCTGTCCACGTGGCGAGCACCGGAGCCGATGCCGCAGGAGTAGCTGTAGTCGAAGGTGGAGAACTGCTCGTGCTTGGGCGCCATGTAGGGTACCACCATGAAGAACATCTGCATGGGCATGCCCTTCTTCCAGCCCATGGGCAGAACCAGGCGATCGGGGAATCCGCAATGGGGCTCAGTGAGGTCCATCGGGTAATCGTACTTGCCATCGATGGCCATCATCGTGTGGTAGTACAGTTCGGTGTAGGTGGTGCGATCCTTGACGGTCCAAGCGAAGTCGGTGGACTTTCTGGTGATCAGGTTGCTGCCCGTCTTTAGGGTGTAGGTGAACTCGTCGATTTCCATAAAGTTCAAGCGGTTGTCCGCCAACGAGATCATCCTGCCGAACTCATCGAACTTGGGTCCCAGGAAGGCGCGAATGACCACCTGCTCATCCCTGGCCGAGTCGATGGTGTAGGTGTAGGTGAAGCGCTTGTGGTTCAAACGCATCTGGCGGGCGAACAAGGACTTGTCCCACAGGAACTGACCCTCGTGGAAGATCATCTTGCCGTTGAGCATGTTGGTCACATCGAAGTCAACCAGATCGAAGTAGGTGACCAGTTCGCTGACCTCCACATGCTTCAGCGTAACGCCGGGCATGAGCAGCTGCTCCTTGGTGTACTTGGGCAGATGGTGCATGAACTGGAAGTAGACCTGGGCGATGGACTTGTAGAACATGTAGAACATGGGATCCCGCATCATGGTCTCGAAGTTCAGCATGACATTGGGGTACACCTCCATCTGGTAGTAGTGGGTATCGGCGAAGTACATGTGGGCGAGCATGTACCAGAACTGGAAGAACATGTTGTCCATGGCATCCACGTTGCCCTGCAGCATGTTGCCAATGATTTCAATGGACTCCGGCTGGCGCAGATCGATCATGTGGCCATCGGTCGTCTGGTAGTAGCCCGAGTCGATGATGCTGTGGATGCGTTGCTGGAAGCCGGTGATCTTGTCCAGCATCTCGAAGTTGCCGTATGTCTCCAGCTCGTAGTAGTTCTTTCGATAGCTGTAGCCAATGCCGTTGTAGTAGATCAACTGCGGATCGTAGCCCATCTCGATCTGGTGGAACCAGGAGAACTGGGGAATCTCGCCGAGGCCGTGGGACAAGCGCTCCATGTGGTATCTGCTGAGCAGCTGGTGCACATTGTACAGCCACCACTCGCCGCGGCGATCGTTCTGCAGGCCAAAGGTCTTGCCGTCCAGGAAGAAGGAGTAGTCCATGTTCAGGTAGTACCAGTAGCTGTTCCAACCCAGATCCTCGGTGAAGTAGGACAGCTTGCTCTCCTCGTTGTACAGGTGCAGATCGCGACTGTAGTCCACCGGCATGTAGAACTTCTTCACGTCCTTCAACATCGTCGCCGAGCTGCTTGCCACGTTGAACTCGTGGATGTTCTCGCGCAGAATGTAGTTGCTATCACTGTACCAGTGCTCGCCCAGACCCATCAGCTTCCACCACTGCCAGGTCTTGAAGTCCTTCATGTACATGTAGTCGCTGGACTGGTACAGGCTGCCGAATCCATGTCCCTGTGTCTTTCCGTGTCCGTGTCCCATGCCCTGTCCGTCTGAGAAGGTGGGGATCTTGTGGTACACATCCAGGTACTCCTTTTCGTACAGGCTGGTCTTCATCCACATCTCGTAGTCGAACTTCTCGGCCTCCATCACAAATTTGCTGTTGAAGAAGAACTGCGGAAAGATCTCGTGGATGGCGGGCAGCGCGAGTCCCTGGAAGTCGGCGCGGTGGATCACGGCCAGGGTCAGGGCGTAGACGAACATGCCCTCGTTGAAGTGCATTCGAGCGAAGGCCACATTCGCCTTGAAGGTCTCCCAGTCCCGGGCGTAGTAGAAGTAGTTGAAGAGTCCACGTGCCTGCTTGGCATGGTGCTTGACCAGGGCGCCAAAGAACTCGCCCTTGGGCAGCAGGGCATGTGCCTTGTGGGCCTCGTGGAACTTCTCCATGTACAGATCGAAGTGCTGCAAGGGATTGAAGGAGCGTTTGGGTACTGACCATTCGGGCTGCGCCATCTACGCCCACTCACCGTGTAGTGCTGCTTCTCGAAGTGGAATTGCTTGCCCGTCGCAATGTGCTCCTCGAACATCAGCGGATCCTCCACGCGGTAGACGATCTCGAAGAGGAACTTCTGCCTCATCAGGAAGACCTTGTCAGCGACCTTGATGTCGTGGGTGTGGTGGTAATTGGTCGCGGCCACCACGGCCACACAGGCCAGCAAGGCGATGGCTAACTTCATTCTGTGAACTCCTCCTTCCGCTGCTCCAAACACTCGACTTCAACTGCTCCGGATCGGATGCACTTGGTGGATCCAATGCCTAAAGTCTGTTGCCTGAACGATGCCCACGGCTCCGCTTTTATAGCCCCAGATTCCCGCGGTAATCGGGAGTAACATATCTGTGACGACGGGGTCAGGGATCACCGGGTGTATCTCAGGTGCTCGCCATGAACATCTGTTGCTACTGCAGCGCAGCAGCTTATCACCTGGACCGCCGCCGTTGGTCCCCACATATCGAGTCCAGATGGGCATTCCAGAATTAGCGAATGCTGCGGTTCTTTGTCTGCAACTTCTGCACAAGTTGAATTCCTACCTCTCACTTGTAAATCCATGCATAAATATCGGTTACATACTTGATTTAGGTATTTGGCTAGCATTATTATGGGAACTTATGCACACCAGGCGTATGAGTAATTTGATGCCTTTGCCTAGAGTGTTGCCACTTTAATCCCATTTTAACGCTTGAGTTGCAGATACCAGGAGTTCATGAGGCAGACTTAGAATTAGAGGCAGTCATTAAATTTCGCTTTAATTAATACATTTTTGTATGTGTTTATGTAGAGGAACCGCACATTTTTGCTGCATGCTTTTAGGCATCCGTGCAAAATCATTTGTGGATAATGGTCTACAAAAAAGTCTCCACATCCTGTAATTCCCAAGTGAAACACTTAGAACATTGATCGTTAGTTTAGCCATTTTATTTACTACTAATATCACTCAGTGTATATACATAGATTCGTTTGTGTCTTTTCTCGGGATTTGTGTGTGCGTGTGTGTGTGTTTTGTTGTTGTTGTCGTGTTTAGGTGTGTGTTTTTGTGTGTGGGCTAGATATATAACATATATCAGTGTGTATAGGTATAATATCATATAAAATTGTGCTCCGTGTATAACACTAAAAAATGATAAAAAAAATTTCGCTAGCTCTGTTTTACTCTTCATTTGCCTGTTGGAGTTGCACTTAAAACTAAATACTTGCAGCCGGGGGGAAAAGTCGAGGATCGGGAATCAGGAATCGGGAAGCAGGAATCGGGAATCGGGTGGGGCATACATCATGCGGTAAGAACGGTATGCGATAAGGCTGTATCTATATTATAACCGCCCTATGCCGTTGGCAGATACAGACGAGATGGCGTCGACAGGGGCACCTGAGGTGGCTGATAGTTGTAGCCATTGCCGTTTCCATAGGGGGACGTGTAGCTGTAGTCATCGCCGCTCTGGCCACTGCCCCGCAGAGGTCCTTGGTCGGAGTCCAGGGTCTGCTGCAGGAACTGGAAGCGGTTCTTGTTGCCCAGCAGGCTGCTGGGGTCCACGGTCTGGCGCTGCACAGGGGCCAAGGGCTGGGGTCTGGAACACAGAGACGCGCATATATGAAGTGGGTCCATATTTACAATATAGGTAGTTAAACCATCGATTGAACCTTTTGAGTTGTAGGCTACTGTGTTGGCTCAAACACAGAGCTGAGACTCATACTTGTTCTTTAGTTCGCTGTGGGGTTGTATGGGTTACTCACTCGGGGATGTCCAGATCCAGCTCGGTGATGGGGTGGTAGCCGAACTCGTCGGCGGTGTAGCGGGTCTTGTACCGCTTGCCATCGGCGCCGGTGAAGGAGTAGGAACCGCTGACCACGAAGGTCTTGTCGTCCTTCAGCTTGCCCACGCTGCTCACCTCGATGCCGTTCTGGGTCTTCAGTCTGAGCAAAGGGTTTTGGGTTTAGTAAATAAAATATACCGAGCTGCTTGGATTCATTGGGCTATGCCACAACAAACTCTATGAAGCTATGTTAAAACAGTTTGATAAGTCGCTTAGACTGACTCATGACCTATCAGCTTCAATTGAATGATGCACACGAGCTTATACTCACTCCAGCTTGAATTTCTTGCCGGAATTGTAGTTCTGCAGGGTCTCGGTCTTGGCCTTCATGACATCGCCGCTGAAGTGCACCGCCGGCTTGTCCTCGTCGATGTCCTCGGGCAGGGTGTAGACGTCGCTGGGATTGTACTTGAAGAGGTCCAGATTGCGATCTGTCAGATGCTTGACGTCGGCGGCAGCCAGAGCAGCGAAACCCAGAAGGATCAGCTGAAAGATAGAATGCCTGGTTAGTGTCACTCGTCACACCAATCTTATGCAAATCTGTGGATCACAGACGTTTCGATTTGAATTCGGAATCGTGTTTTGCATTTCGCATTTCGCTTTGGCGGGCAATTAATCAAAGTCGCGCGCGAATCGCTGGCGTTTCTGACCGCACAGCGTCGCTTTGTCTAGCAAGTCTCTCGGTTTTTGGCTTTTTATTGGTATTATTTTTTGTAATTTTCGTATGTATCTTTGCTGTGATTTATTTGATTTGGTTTCGGGCCGAGGCACTAATCATAATGGGTTCCAACCGTTTCGATATTTGTCATTCGTCTGTTTTGACGTTGATGAGCTGTGCGGCGCTCAAGGTGATTCAACATTTCCTTCTTTAATTTGCCATGCTAATCTTAGGTGATCCCAGAAACTCAAAAACTACAAGCCCCACAGGAACTTGGGGTAAATTGGTTTGTGTGTGTAATGTGTATCTTTGTCTTTCTCTGGCTTAAAAGTATTCACACTTTTGAAGGACATTTCTTGCGCGCACTTTCACTTGATCCTTGTTCTTTTTCTCGCTTGGGACACCACAGTAAAAAAAAATAACGCATTAAATGTATACTTTTCAGTATTCGGCAGGCACTTACAAAACTCTTCATTTTTATGTGCGTTTGGCGACAGAAATTCGTAACGAGGACTCTAATTTAGGCTTTATTTTTGTAGCGGCTCGGCTAGTTCCGATGCTCACAGATTCTAGCAAATAAATACAAACGATGCGACTTCTTGTTTCCTTATATATGGTATAAGCTGCGACGCCGGCAGCGAAGTCGGCAGAAATAGGAACCGGACAACGAACTGAGCCTCTGCCGGCGTCGCAGCCGCTAGAATCGAAAAAGCCAAAGTTTGTCAACGCCGCAATCGGTATAATATATATATGTATATATATATATATATGGGTGAGTGTGTGAGGGAGGCGATTGCCCAAATGAGGGGCATCATCCATCTGCAGGCAGAAGATGTAACATTTTAGGGTCTTCTGGACAATTCCCCCTGGTTTCTCGGCTGCTGACGCTGCCTGAACGCAGATCGAAGCATAGAAATCTGGTTTTAGGGGCAGCAAAATTAGAAAACCGCCATCATCAAATTAGCATACACGTTTAATGATTATTCTCGCCCTGAGTGTGTGTGCATGTGCGTAAATTTAAATCTGCGTTAATTTTTTATAAAGCATGGAATATTTAATACATATATATATATATACCTACATATATACTAATGGTAAAATATGCGTCGATTGACGATTAACGATTTTGGGCGACCAGTTTGTTTTAGCGGACACCCAAGTTCCAAGTTCCAAGTTCCAAGTTCCGAAAGTACTGCTGGATCGAACCAGCAAATCTTTCATCTGTTTCTTCAGCGGAAAGGGGCGATGGTGATTCTTCTCCACTGATAAGATGCCCCATTCTTAGTTTTTGTTTCGTATGCTAATGCATCAGTTGGCCTTCGCTTAATTAGCCGTTTCGTTTTCGGTCTTATCAAAATTTACCAAATGCGATTCTTCTGGCGGATCAGTGTCCGTCCGGTGGTCTTGGGATCTTGGGATCTTCTTGAGATCGTGAGATCTTGGGCTTTTATAAACTAGTTCTCCATTAATTATTTCCTTTTTTATTACCTTTTTTATTTCCTTTTTTTCTATTTCCTAAATATCTAAAAGTAAACAGTTTATACAAATCCTGATATATGGCAATATGGCTTATCAAACCGTTTTGAAACACAATGACACTCGTATACAGTCAAAATTCAAGGTATAACGAAAATATTGTATATTTGAAAATGTTAATATCTACACCTATTCCTCCAACCTTCTGTTTGCTAAACTGGGTTGCCATTTCAACAATAAACACATACATTTATTCCTGGATCGCCAGTTTTGCATACAATTTGATAAGGCACTGGATTTATAGCTGCTAGCAATCAAGTTAATCACTTTTTGGTTTTCTATGGGGATAAGATTGAAATCAAACCGGACCGGACACGCAGCTCTAATGATAATCGCTAATGGTGCCTCTAATTTAAGTTTTATGCTTAATAACTTAAACGAATACCGTCCGCACGGCATTCATTTTTCATCCGAGAAGAAGTATCTCTTATTTTTGGCCAGTTAATTCTTCTTCTGGTTGTGATCTTCTTGGCCTAATGAAAACGTTTTGGCCATTTCAGCGACTTGTCAAATGTGTGATGGCTGTTAGTTGGTTGGTTGGTTGGTTCGCCTTGGAAATTGACCTGATGTCTGATGTTTGATGTCTGCTGCTTCGTCCGTGTCTTTGATATCGAATAGCATTTGTTATGCATACTTGCACACGCCCAGAGTTTTGTCTTCGATCTTCGAGCCGATCTTGATGTCTCACTTAGAGACCATGTCCACCAAAACGAGTTATCACAAGTCCGCCCAAAAGGGTGTGGCCCGCTGTCCAATCGAACTGACTCATCTCCATCAACCCCATTAATTGTGATAGCCCTGATTCCAGGTAAAAGGCTGCAGCTGCCGTATTAATTACCATGCGATTAGCGTGAATTTCAGCGAATCTCAGCTTACATTCGCCATTTGCATACGTATGTATGCATATGCCGCACAGAAAAGAAAAGAAAGTGTTTCATTTGTGTATCTCATGCCTGTGATTTCTGTGGCAAATTAACAGATCGAACAACTTGTTACGCAGCCCGCAGTTCCCTCGTTCCGCCGAACTCTTTGAATCTCGCCGATTTTCGGAAATATGCCCCATTATCTGGGGTATTTGGAACTTGCCACGGTTTTGAGAATTCTTACAAGCCCTAATTTATTTCAATCCCAGAACAAGACGCATTACGAGTTCATCATTTGCATTAGCCTCTTATACCTTCAGCATTTCGCTATATTTTCACTATAAGCTCTTATAAGAAGGACTCATTGTGTTGCCCATCAGACTGCCTAGAAAACTAGTAAATAAGTAAAAATACATATACATATACGATCATCCGTAGAGCATTCAAATCTTCGTTGGGTCGTAAAACACCCATCTCTCTGTTTATTTTTTCCGAGTCAACGCTTAGCCAAAACAATAAAGAAAGAGCTGAAAGCAGCGAATATAAAATAAATAAATAAATTAGCAATTAGAAGGAGACAGAAACGAGATTTCCAAGAAACCAAAACATTTAGTTCTGTGCCATTCGATGCGATTCGAAACGATTCGAAACGACTCAGGGAACGATTCCTATTCATAACCTTGAGCAATTTGGGGAATGGATGATGTAAAAGTTATGTAAAGTCGAGGTTCGATTAGGAAAACACGCACTGAAATCAGGGCCTACAGTCATTTAGACTGCGAGTAAATATAAATTTATTATGTTTACGAGACAGATTGGCACCACTAAGTCAGCACAGTGGGAATTTTACCCAGCTCCTAAAAATATTTACACTTGACCACCCACAGATCAAAATGCACGGTACCTTGCCATTTTTCATTAGTTTCGACATTTCGCTAAGTAAATTAGACACTTATATATGAATGTTTCATTGATAAAGCAGTGTGCGGTGTGCTGAGTATTTGAATTACTTTTTTCACATATATTATATGTACATTTGTGGATTTATTCATGGATGGGTTGGGACTCATGCATATAAGGAAGGCTCTGTTACCGTTTCCAACTCATGTTTCTGCCCAATCTCTTTGTACAATTTATTGGCCAAATTAAGCAGTATCTATCAGTGCATCTAATATTCTATTGATATGCAGATCGCATTGTGAACCTCTCCATATAGACGGTTCCATAAATCTGGACAGAACCATTTCGGAGCAACCAACCAACCCATCAGCCAACCAATCTAATCGGATCTGCCTACATCTCTCCCCATTGAACTGGTTCGATGTCGTCCGTTAATCCAACTGATTTGCATTGGGGCACATGCAGAGGAACCCCCCTTCCGCTCCGCACATATGGAATCATGTGGCATCATATCGAATCGTCCGCCCCTCCCAGCCCTGGCATAATATTATAATTATGCTTGTAGGTGGCCGAACAACGCCCCTCATTTGGCCACTTTTTTGGCCACTTTTTTGGCAATAGCTGGTTGTCATTAGTGGAGCATGTCCAGGGCGTGATTGAATCTGAATGGAATATTAATATTAGGAATCAGTTATGGCTGCACGTTCTGTTTCAGGGAGAGAGAGATCTGGTTGCGGCCATAAATAATATGTGGCTAAATCATATTTTATGGCCAACTTAAGGAAATACGCCATACTCGACTCGATCCGACTCGACTCGACTCGACTGGACTGGGATCCCAATGGTTGGTTCTACGGGTGGGTCTAGAACCCAACCGTGTAGCCGTGCAAACCAACTAAATCGAGTTGCGATCAGGTTCTCTGTGGTCTTTGACCGGTTATGCATATGCCACCTGAGCCGATCCATCGATCGATCGAGCCAACGCTCCTTTTTATGGCCGTTTTCTACGGTTTTTTTTCCACCATTTTTCTATTTTTTCGTTTGTTTTTTTATGTTTTACTTCGATTTTGAGGGGGAATTTTATTTGTATTATTTCGGCGAGCGCCAAAAAATAAATAATCAATGCGAATTTGCATAGTTTAAATAGAAAGCTTAACACGTTTTGCTTTTACCCCAAAACGTAAAGTTATCTGTCTCTGCGCTCGGCTTTTTGCAGTTCTTTGTTGAATTCGTATAATTAAGACCAGTATTTGTTCGTTGTATTTGGTTTTGGGGAGTATTAGGCTCCTTTAAATATATGCAGACATGCAGTGCGTTGCGGTGTCAAAAATGCCATCGAAATTATGGGATGAAAGTAGATGCCGCAGTACCGTATTTTACTCATTTTATTCATTAAGCATATATTTTTTAGTTCGTTTTCGTTACCTGTTCTAAATAAAACTCAATAACGGCTAAATTTAGTGATTTTTAATGTGATATTTAAATCGTCATAGTAACTAATAGCTGTTTTAAACAAGTTTAACAGTGCTGTTAAGTAGGCCATTTGTCCGAATTTAATTTAATGTGTTATTAAATTCGATAGCGTTTTAGACTCTGCATGAGGTAATCCATTTTTGGTTTTGTCATTAGACTCCTAATCAAAATATTTAAGAAACCAGCTGTATAAGACTTGAAATTTTTAACATTTGAACTAGAATAAATGCTTGATTTGTAGTTTTCAAAAATAATGAATTATTAATTCATACATCTCAATCAACATAACCAGAATGTCCGTCACTTAATTATTCCAGACTAAATCTAGATGGGCTACTCGGACGGACCACAAGTGCAGAAATCAAGACCCAAACTTTAGAACAAATCGCGAAATTAATTAAGAATAAAATAAGTTCAAGTCCGAGATCGCCAGCGAGTCTAAGAGAAGTCACATAAAAGTGAAGCTGTCGCCATTTAAAACCGCCGTTCAATTAACTCTGCCTCACTAATTTCATTAAAGTTTTATAGGGATTATAAATCTCTAGACAGATATATGAAACTCGTATTGGAATCGAGCGGAGCCAAAAGGAGCATTGATGATCCATCTAATTAATTGTTGGTAGGAGTAGTTCGAGTTTACGACTTGTTTATTTAATAATTTATCAGAGTTTTCCGCAAAACTGAGATCCGGTCAACCCCCCACCACATAAAAATCTGGTTTTCGAGATAATTTTTCAGCTTTTGGCTTGTTAGCATTTTGTGCGCACAAAGTCTAAAAATAGCGCACAAAATAACAAAAATATTTTTTTGGAAAACACTTTTGGGTGCCTTTGTTCATTCTAATGCGGCGCCAAGGGCAACAATTGATTGGGAACTGTGTCAATCATGATTGTTGGATGGTTATTAAGGAATAATTTGATTATGTCTATGCTTAATAGATTCTAAATTTAGTTGCATTTCTGGGGACTCACTTTTGCTTGGTTGATTGCATGAAACTAATTATTCAAATGCGCATTAAGTCCCAAAATAAACATAATTATGACAATAGAGTTAAATTGCAGCAAAAAAACCGGAAACTGGAAGTCCTTAAATTAATATCACTTCATAATAGTTGAGTAGTTGATTAAAAGCCGTTCATCCGAATATCATAGTGCAATTTTTCTCCATCCTGGTTCCCATTTTATTTATTTGCCCAATCAATCATTTATTGCCTCAATCTCTACATCAACAAGTTCCTAAATTTCTTAATGATCAAACAACTTGCTCAAGCTTTCAATTAAGTTGAAAGACGAATCAATCATTCAGCGCCAGTCGCGCATAAATCAAGAAATCCCGACCAACAAAGAGTTCGAAATGGGATTATACGGCTCTGTTCGCTTGGGATCTATAGGTCTGTACAATGCCCCACATGGAGTTACCCAGACGACTTATTAAATATCGACGGAAAATCGAGACGCGGCGGCGAAGACACTTGCTCCACTTCCAAAAGCTTACAGCGCAGACAGCGCGACTCCACCGCATAATCAAACAATCACAATCGCCCCATCGAACGACCACAGTGATGGCACAGCTGGAAAGCTGATAAGTAAGCAACACTTATGATTATGATATACCAAGAAAGTATGTCTCAGAAAAAATATCAAACATATAAGTTCAGTTCAGATATCAAACATATAAGTTTAGTTCAGAATATACTAATTTAAAAGAAAAAAACAAGGAACATTCTGAAAAAAATATCAAACATATAAGTTCAGTTCAGAATATATTAAAAAAAAAAAAAGGGACATGCTGCGAAAAAAATATCAAGCATATAAGTTTATAATAAAAAACAAGGAAAATTACGCAAAATTTCTTGCAGAAAAACTATAGTATAAACTATAAGCTAGCTTAATCTAGCTAAGAACTAGCTAAATTATGATCAGCTCTGCGCAGCGGGCGCGAGCGAGACAGCGCGTGCGCGTTTGTACAGTTAGACACACATGCGCCAATATTACGTATACGTATACACCACTTAATATTACGTATACGTACAGGGCAACTGTGTGTATTTGTGTGGCGACGCGTGCGGCGCATGCGCAGCTCTTTTATTGTTGTTTTTTCGTTTTTTTCGTTTTTTTGTGTTAATTTTTGTTGACCGATGTGACCATTGCCTACCTAACCGATCTTTATCTTTATCTCCAAGCGTGGCTACTTTTTGCCCCTCTGCCGTTTACACATGTCGCTTTTTATGGCACCCGGTAACAGAGGTTCTTCGTTATTCTTCCTGAGTTTATTTAGCTTATTCCCCGATTTTTTGCCATAAATTATTGTGGCCTTTGTTGCTTTTGTTCGTTGTTTTGGGTCCCATCATAATTTGCACCTGCACGAGAATCGCACTCGCAAATTAGGTGCGCTTTTTTATTTTTGTTGGCCAAAAGAGAGATAGGAAGGGGGTTTTTGGGAACAAGATTTAGAACCACAGTATCTGAAAAATGTTTGTGTCCTTGCCATGCTAGTTTTATTTAAAAATTAATCAAGATTTGACTTTATTAGCTGCAAAATAAAGGAGGTTTTTACCAGACTTCTTGTGATCGTTGCTAGTGAAACTGACTAAATAAGTATATGTATTTTGGCAGTATGAAGTGGTACTCAGACTTCTCAGTGCTACTGTGGGTGTCAGGCCATGTGCCCATAGGAAAGAAAACTCGTTTGACCATTAACGATGACTGACTTTCATTAGATAGATGGCCAAAATCCAGTTTCCCTTCTCCATTTCTGAGTGGGTGCCTTGGGTAACATCACCAATGGCCAACAGCTAAGTCGCATCATCGATACCCAAACTCAAATACAGTTCAATTCAATTCAAACCGAAACGCGGGCTTCGATTCCAAAATTCGATGAGATCGTGATCGAGTGGCAAAGACATTTCCGCTTACTTAGGCGCAGCAATTTCAAAATTGACAGCTCCCCGGTTGCCAATAAATCTTTTATTGGAATCCGAATGCTAGTGTGAATCGGTATGGCCCAAAGCCATAAACCAAATCCAGATAAATTGCTATAAATGTCTTTCCGAGTAGAGTTCATAAATTAAATCAACTCCAAATTAATAACACAACAAAAAAAGAACCAAATTCGCATTCTGGTTTTTTATCTTTAAAAGCTGCGTGACGTGGGTGAATTCAGAACTTGATAGTTTGCTTGGGAAACCGTTGACCCTATCCGGAATATTCAAAACCTATTTTAAAAACGATACGAAAAAACAGTGATATATATTTCCTACTTGCTGTACAGCTGTTCCTTATTCAAAGGAATTTTATTAAAACATCCTACAGCAGCTGGCTTAAAACGAAACAGCATTTTCCCAGTTTTAGTTTAGTTTTTGCCCCAAATAAGAATTTCGATTGCAATAATGTATAGATAGATACGCAATAGATACGCTAGAAAAATCCTGGGTATCAGAGTATTCAAATATTAATAAGCTGAAGTCGCACGTTTGGCAATATAATTATGCAGTTGCGCCATGCGATTAATTAACCATTAACAAATTCGACTTCTACAGAATTGGTTTTGCCTAATTTTGTCGATTTGTGGCGATGAGGTGAAAGGTTCTTGGCAGTTCCTCGTTTTGTTGTTCATCGACTGGCATACTAAATTTGGTCGATGCGGAAGCATTAAGCGATTTGTTTGCCTTAAACAATTGCAATCAATTATCCGTCGATCGAATGAACTAAAAGCATTCATCAATCAATAAGTATTTCTATCTCTTTCGCGCTGTGGATCCCACACGAAGTGTATATGTATTATATATATCTTTTTTCGAAAAGCCTAAAAATTGGCTTTACTCTGGCAGCCGCAAAAGTTATGCTATACTTCGAGAAACACACGTCTTGATTCATTTTTGCTTTCGTTTTTTTATTTAGGATTTTTTATACAATAACTTAACATTTTGTTGTTCTTTTTTTAATAGGTTTTTTGCTTTCTTTTTGGAATCGGAAATTTACAATATTAAATATTGATTTTATTGCTGTACTGGCTGCTGTTTTATCCCACTGATGGATTTAGTTTACGGATTTGTTTACTTTCATTTGCGGACTTTGGAATTTCCCATTTGCTGTTTGCATATTTTCAGTTGAAACAATATTGCTATTTCATATATCAGTGTGTGTGTGTATATATATATATATATATATTTAATTTATTTTTTGTTTTTCATTACGTTTATCAAATGCAGCACATTGATGCTTAGGCTGTAGGTGTGTGTAGGTGTGTCTGAGAGTGTGTGAGTGTTACATATTTGTGGGTGTGGCTGTCCATTTCGGTGTTCTCATTACTTTCTTTAGCTATTTGGTTGCTGCTTTTCTCTCTGTGTAAACATTCTTGTACCTCGCTTTGCTCGATTTACCTGCATATTTCTTCTGCATATTTGTTGCCTTCATTTTTCTGCTTTTGATTTGCGTTCAAACTGAGAAAAATACTGAGTGTAAGGGGTTGGAGAAATGGGTGGTTGGGGGGTTGGTTTGGTTGGTTGGTTGTTGGTTGTTTGTTTTATGAGGGGTTGTATTGTGCTTAACTAAGCTGAAAAACGGTGGTTCTTCCTTTTTTATATACTTTCTCTGGCCTCATTTCTAAGCTTTTGTCTTGGGATTTCGGTTTCTTCAAAGCCTTTCCTTCTATATATGTGTATATATATATATATTCTGCTCAAAGAACTAAGACCTTTTCTACCATTTTCGCCCTCTTTCTTCAGCACCGCTTCCCTTTGATCAGCCGCTACAGTGGGCCCCAAAAGTCAGCGCACCCGGTTTTAATTGTCTGCCTCCTGTATATAATGATACAAAATAATTACTCATTATTTAACCTTAGAAAATTGGGATTTCTTTAATTAGTTTTTTTCTACTATTTCCGGTTCATCTCGTTTTGCTTTATTGCGTCATTCATTTCATTTCATATATTGTATAGTATGTGTATATGCGTATGTGTGTGTATTTTGTATATGTACGTGTGTGTGTATATTTGTTTTAAGGTTTAACATTTAATTTACTTTCATCTGCTTCGTCGTCATTATATAAATAAAAATAAATACATTATTCTTTATGTTAATTTTTTTGTCATTCTTTTTTTTTCGATTTTGTATTCATTATGCATGCAAGCAAAACGTTTTTCGTTATTTTTTGTTCTTTTAGTTTTTACTTGTTAAACGTCCCTACATCCTCTTCAATTTTTTAAAAAGCCGCACTAAACTTTACGATTACAAAAAAAAAAAAAATAAATTCACATATATGCATACAATAATTTTTTATAATACACATATGCAGGTCGAGTCCACATTACAGAAAAAGGGGAAAAAGAAGTCGTATGTATACATAATAATGGTAAATTGCAGTTTAGCATCGCCTGCAGACTAACAGATATATACATATATAAACATATGTAAATGTGGTCTTCAGAATTACAATTTAAATTTTGGATTTTTTCTCGACTTATGTTTTGAAGCTGGAGCAACAGCTGCTGGGTGTTGCATAAATTTTGGTTCTCACTGTGGCTGCTGGTACCGCTACAACATTTCTTGATAATCTGCTACTGTTGGTCAGAGAGCTTGGTTTTCCTCTAGTTTCTTCTAGTTCATCCTTGTGTTGTCTCAATCTCAATTTCGGTCTCTGTGTCAGTATCTGTATCCGTGTATCGGTATCGGTCACGGTATCGGTATCGGTCACGTCTTGCAAAGCGAAGCAAAGCGATTTATGCGGCATGAAAAATATCAACAGCTCGGCTTCATTTCGTCCCAAAAAACATTAACATCAAAAAACACGGCAAGCCGGAAAATGACCGCCCCCGCCCCCATCGTCGCTCATCGCGTCCCCCGTCCTATTTTGTTGCCCCAATTATTGAAGGACGCAGCAGCCCTTCTTCTTGTTCTTCTTCTCGTCGATGACCACATGACTAGCGGACGTCGGTCCGGGAACCACCTGTTTGGACACCTGTCCCAGCGAGGTGACCCCATTGTTTCCGGTTCCGCCGCTCAGCTCGGTCGCCGTCGCTGCTTTTCCGGCGCCAGCGTCGGCAGTTGCAGAGGCATGGGAATTTGTACCATTTTGTGCTGTTGCTAGATTCTGCGAGAGCTGCAATTGACACAGGTATTTAGTCACACATGTACCACTGGTGGGTAAACTACATCCCATCTTACATTCGATATGATTACACTCTCGCCGATCGCCGTCCCGCCATTGCAATTGTCGTCCACATGCTGGGCGCTCCCGTTGCCAATTGTACGCTCCTCTGTGGGTGTGATGGGCTTGCCACCTGAAAGTAAGGGTATTCGATTGCAGGCATTTCAAATAACTGGGCTTTATACATCCGGAACGTATATATATCACTACAATTCATCGATGCTTAAGTACTTTTTCCATTTACAATGCTAGCCTATAATCTGATTACTAGGAATTCCAGTATATTTACAACATAATAATTATAATAACCCCCTGCAAGCGATGATATAAACAAATAGCACTGCCTAACATTGCGAAAGAGCTCATTCAAACAAACAGATGTAAGTGCTCTTACTTTATAAGAACGACCCCACAGGTCTCTGATTTTGATCAGAACTCACCTCTGATCATGTTGACAATTTCATCAGCCTCTCTGGACAGATCGCCGCCTGGACGAAAGGGATTGTCCCAGCCGGAATCGGTGCTGCAATAGCGGATTACCCAAGAGTCGATAAAATATCTACATTATATGGGTCATGGTGTGGGCCACCCACCTTTGCTGTCGATCGTAGGCCGCTCCCAGGCCGATCACCTGCTGCTGTGGAATCCCCGCCGCCGTCGTGGCCATCGTAGTGTAGTCTAGAAGGTTGCCGCTGAAGTTGTACTCCGGGTAGTCCAGATACTCCGCCGGTGGACAGATTACCTGCGGCTGGCTGCTTTGGTAGATTGAAACGCGCACTATCGAACGCTCCGATCTGGAAATGAGCAGAGCAGGCAAACACAAATCGAATTAGAGGATTGCAATACATTATATTATGTGTATCTACATGTGCAGTGGTTGATGTGCAGTGTTTTACGTATCGAGATTATCGAGAGGGGGCGGTTGGTTTGTGGGGGGACAACGGCGAGCACTAAAATCACGCATCAGCGCATGTGACCTTAAAATAGCCGAGCAAGTGCGTCATCTACGGAGGAGCCACCTCAATGTCAATTAAATTAAGTCATTTGGCAATTGGCTTTCAGCTAAATATCTGATTCAATTGATTGAAACTGCCAGCGAAATGCTATTTTCTCACTGTACTTTTTGGCCAGGTTCTATGGATTGATCTAGAAGTGGAAACTACATTACTCTTCAATCAACTGCTTATCCGAGTCCGATATGGCGCCCCACATCCAGGAATCCTCCAGAGATTCTGTGGATTCCATCAAATAATCTATACGTGTGCGATTGCTATCCATATTGTTGGCAACGAAAACGAATCCTGACTTCTGGCACTTACACAAATATCACAGGTCACTGGATCAAACAAGTTAAATCGATACAGGGAAAAGTGTTCTAGATTTTGGGTTTGGTTTTTTTTTTTTGGGGCATTCGGGGGATCTTTGGCGTTATTTTAGGATTAGTTTCCCTCTCAGACGACATATTCGAAACATATTTGGAGCATCCAGGAATACAATGCGTTATTTACAGACGTTTGCTTCAGTCTTAAATTATTCATATATATATATAGCTTATTCAGCTGCACTGGCAAAAAAAAAGTGGATCAATGCCCAATAGAAAAGCAGCAATTTGACAAATCAGTTCAGAAATAAATTAGGTTTTATAGCACAGTCTGCTGGATGGGCAACATTTCTTTATCTTTATAACTGGTTTAAGCCGATGACTTCATTTATGGCTGGTTGGTTGTGCGAAAAGCCCGAGACTTACTGAGTCGAAACGCACTGTACTACCAAGAAACTGGAATGGAAGATTTAACTTGTAAGATCTCAATCTCCGCCATCCATCCAATGGCCCATGGGACATTCACTTCCCACATCTTTCCAGCATTCGGCTTTATTGTCCCAGAACTTTGAACCCCAAGTGGGAAAACCATTAGAGAAACCTGTCGAAAAAAAATTGAGAACCAGAAGAAGTAGCAAAAAATAAACAGCCTACAATCGAATCAGACAAGCCGTTCACTATATAAAGGCCCCTCCTCCTGCTTCTCCCCCACACAACACAGCTTTTTATCTGTTTACATTTCAAATACACTTCATAACTCAGTGTGCTTGTTGTTGTAATTATTTGCTGTTGTTGTAGTTGTTGCTGTTGAACATGTGAAGATTACGTCATGTGCCGAAATTGATATGGAAAAAATTGATACAGGGCATGCTCTACAGTGCGAACTAACTTTGCAATGCAAATATTAAAAACAAAGTATTTTCAACTTTGAGCAGCGGATTCTTAACAAGGAACGTGAAAATTTATGTATTGCCTGTTTTCCAAGTCAAATAACTGTAAGTGTAATATTTTATTCAGCCAATAGAGTGTGAAATAATGAACTACTTAAATATTCCAATAAGGAATTATAAAACAAAGAAGATAAACGGGTGTTCTATGGTATCCATAGCATCTCTATATATCCTATATGTATATCACTTAAAATATTGATTTCTATTCTATGACTATGAACTCCAACTCTGAACTCTTTAGCGCATTATATCGAGAGTGGCCTGTAGCAACTGGCACAAGAATACGACCATCAACAAAACACGAGTGTTACAAGCTCGAAAAACAAGTTTTAGGCAAATAACAAATAACAAAAACAAAATGAAGAAGAAGAACGTTTACATCTTGCTTTGGCCCAGAGCAATATTAAACGTTTTTTCCTCGGAACAAAATGCTTGTTAAGTGGAAGTAAAGAAAAAGTTTAAGGAGTTACCACTAACTCATAAACGCAACTTCAAGTGCCCCAGCAAATTAAAGAACTGAAAAATATGGGAAAAATACTTGTTGCCATTACTGCGAAGCAGGAGGTGGAGTGAACAAATGGATAATGCTGTGGTGGAGAGGAGAAGACACGAAGAGGAGGTGGAACATGAGCTGTAAATGGGAAACAGAAGCAGAAGCAGCAGCAGCAGCATCAGCTGGGGAAAAGCGAACTCAAAGATGATCGCATTAATTATGTTTGCCACCAACGATCTAGGGGTGCTGAGCGCTTGGCCATTTTCTGGCTACTTAATAGCTATGTATACTCAAGGCTTATATTAGCAGGTGATCTTTTGTCAGGGGTTCGCTATGTTGACACAATGAATCATGAAAATTTTACTTTTGCCTTTTCGTGATATAAGAGAAGCATGCCATTACAATAAACAGTTTAATAATTTTGTTAACTTATTAAGTTTTTAATTGATTTTGACTGTTTTTTTATTTTATTTAAAATTTATAATTATTTCTCGTGATGATTTATTTTTCTTTCGCTAGGCAATTTAAGTTTCATATAAAATTTCTTGTAATTTTCTGGCATTTTTCTTGAGAACATATGGAACTTTTCAAATGAAGGATTGGCACATTGAAAAAAAGCACTTGAAGCATATGTTTATGTTGTCACGAGACATTTGGCTATATTTTAGCCCATTTTTTTTTGCATCGAATGGATGGCAACACTATTTGGCGACTGCGACGCCGGCAGCGCAGCAGCTTTTCAATTAGTTTTGGTTTTTGCTTTTGTATTTTGGGGCACACACGCGAGGGACTACGTCACGGGCGAATAAGAAGAAGAAGCTTAGGGGGAGGGGGTAGAGTGCGAGAGGGAGAGTGAAAATTAATTTAACAAATTATGCGACCCCACCCGCAAACACAAAAACAACAAAAATAATACACAAGCACATGAGAAACAAATAGCGGAAAATTCAATTTTGCACTTGAAAAGCGAAAACAGAGAGGAAAAAGAGAGCGCGAGAGAGATGAGGAAAGACAAGAGAGGGCAACTGCAGTGCGGCGTTGATTTTGATTTGTTTTAATAATTTCCAAATGTATACACTGGCGCAACCGATGTGGGCATATATTGTATAATGCATACGGTTTCTATACATATAGTATAAATATCAGCGACTAAGGCTAATTTATGTACAAACAAGGTGCTATTTTAACACGCACACACACTGGCGCACATTTATTTTAATTGCGTTTGGCGATGTACACAGAGCGTATTGTATATGGTTTGGTAATTAAATTGAATGCAATAAGCTCTATTGGATTACTAAATATGTAAGGTAAGGACTGTACTGCAAAAACAACATATTATAAATCTGAAAGTATTGTATTATATACTTTAAAAACTTGATTTCATTTCTAATCTAGCCTCTGTTTCTCGCAGTGCAGGAGTGCGAGGGAGAGGAGGCGTTGTCGTTCTCTCTCACGCTGTTCGTGTGTGTGTGTGTGTATTATTTTTTGCGATGAACTCACTGCGCGCAACAACAACAATTACAAGTGTACTACTAATGTTTAACTACTTAAGTGTGTGTGAACCAAATAGCAGAAATTACTTTCACATTGTTTTTGCCATTTTCCTATTTAATTCAAGTGTTTTTTTCTTGTTTTTTCTCAACCACTTGCACTTGCTTTTTCGACTCTCTTGGCCCGCCTACCCGCCCTCTCTCTATTTCGCTCACGCAGTTAACTGTAATTTTTCCCTCTCTTTTTGCACTTTTCTTGGGTTCAAACTTAATACTTTTCTTGTTTTCCTTGTTCGTATTTTAAACGCACTTAAGGAAATTCTACGCGCGTTTTGCACTCGCCGCTCTCTTTTTGATCCTTTTGCGAATTAAAAAAATAGCCGAAGAGCGGGAAATAGCAGCAGCAACGATTGATGAGCGCGTAATTTTCTTTCGTTTCGGTTTTTGGGTTTTGTGCTTTTATTTTTTGTGTGAGGTGAGCGCTCTTTTTTTGTTTGGAGGCTCTTCGGACTTTTGCGTTGTTGCTGCCTAAACTGAAAAACTGAACTGAAACTGACTGTTTGAGTTTCACGCTGCTGAAAAGTAAAAGATACAAAACACACACACTCGCACGCAGGCGTTCACACGCACGAATGTTTGCAGGAGCGGGAAAGAGAGAGAGGCCGCTCTCTCGCAAACTTTTGCCAGGGTTGCCACCTTACTTACTCTTCAGTGGCGCGCTTTTTGAATTCCTCATCTTCTCAAGTTAACAATAAAGCTATACGGTTGATTAACACTTCTTTCTATCAGCAAACAAAATTAATAAATTACTACCATGCAAATAACAAAACTAATCTGTTTGCTTCGAATTTTTTAAATTGTTTACTTTCGCTGTTTACATTTAATTTACTAATTTTATGAATTTTATGAATTACGAGCGATAATTTTCAAGTTAATATTTTAAAAGTGAGTACCACACAATTATATTACTTTTCAATGCAAATAGCCAAACAACGTACATACTTCAGCTAATAAAAAGCAGTCCTTTGAAAAACTCAACCCTATTTCATACTTAAAGCCCGAAGTACTCGAAATAAATCACTTGAGATATCGGAAATACGCCGCAAGTGTTTCACTTTACAACAGAAGACACAAAGAACAATTAACATTCTCTTTAATGAGCTCTTTAATGGGCTCCAGACACACACGTCTACGTCTATCTTTTGTCGTGGTTTTATTGCGATCTATTTTGAGCGAAACAAAAACATTTCCAAATTTTTCATTTCGCGCATTTCCTGGCTAGAAAATTTACACATTTCGGGCAAACAAATGAAAACAAACAGCACAGCCGGCAATTTGTGCTTTTGTATGGGGATTTTTGGCAGCTGCTATAGGCAAACCTGAAATTACACTAGCCAACAAAGACGCAAATATTTTTGCAAAATATCGTATAGAACTTTAGAAAACATGAAAATTTACATAAATGTTTCCATCAAAAAGTTGAATTCGAATTATCTGGAATAATTTAAATGTATAATTTATTTTAGATATTTTAAAT